CGCCCGCCCCACCCCTCCCTGCCATACCAGGCCACATGCCATCGGCACTGGGAGGGTGCTTTTCCAGGGTCACCCCTGGAAAAGCACCTTGTCCCCGAGCAGATGGGGACAAGGGCCTCTTCCCCACAGGACCTGGGGCGTTGGTTGTGGGGGTGCGGGCATTGGGGCTTTTTCACATCGGGGTACCCATTTAATAAAGGGGCACCCAGGTGCGGCCCCCCCTTGTGAATTATTATGGGGTACTATTCACTAAAGGGTTAAATTCAAATTGTAAAAAAGACGCCACACTTTTGAAAAAATTATTTAATTAAGAAAAAACCCCAAAAGATATGTTTTTTGACAACTCTATTATTTAAAAAAACAAAACAAATGGATCCACCAACATAATCCTCAAGTCAATCATGCCGTCTGGCATTGTCCACGACGACCACGACTTTGCGAAATAAAAAGAAAAAATTTCAAAAAACCCGATGCCCGCCAGCCCGTCTGCTCGTGACTTAACTCCTGTCGCAGAATGGCATTCTGACAGATGGCGGTAAAATATAAACAATTGGGCGAAGCTAGCATTCATCACTAGCTTCGTCCAACTGTTTACATTTCCATAGTAGTTACATCCCTAGCGATGACCCGCTGCCCGGCTTCCTGATAGTGGTTCCGGTATTGGCACCGATACTAGTATCGGTATCAGTGCATCCCTAGTTTGAACTCCTGCCTAGTTTTCATGGTTATCTAATCTCTTTAACAGAGCCCTAGACAGTAAACACATGACAGAAGTCCTGATCCTTCCTTACTTTATCAAAAACCAACATTTTTTTTTTTTTTAATGAATTGCACTGAATTTTAGTGACTTGACCCTAATATATAATGAGCTTAAATTTATGTATCATCAAAATGTTTATAAAGAGTTTACATATATACTTAATTAAAATGTCTATAATTCTTTAGGTTTCTTATGTTTACAAGCAGTATATTATTTAACTGGCAGCTAAATGTAATATGCCCTATTGGATGTAAGGTATACAAACAAAGGGTCAACCCGTTGAGGGACCTGGGTGGTTTTAAAATAATCATGCAGCAGCATTCTAGTAGAAAAAAGCAGATGGGAGCCAACCACAATGATAATAGGTAGAAAATTAGCGATATGTATCTGCTGATTTAACTGAACTATACTAGTACTGCATGTATCTCAAAGGTTAGTCGTGTCCAACATAAATAGTGATGTATATTTTAGATAAAATAAGCAAATTCCTGAGGGTGATCGAAAACTCTTGTATATGAGTAATTATAATCTTGCACAAATCATTCTTAATTTAAAAAAAAAAATATATGACTATAGTATTTCTTTGCAGTTCTGCAGAAGCAGCAGCATTAATTAAAATCAGTGTATGGTGAAGACTGAAAAGACCTGCTAAAAAAATAAAAATGTTCCCCTGCTAAACACATTAAGGCTACTTTACTAAACTGTTCACTCAACACAGTGAAAAAAAGTGAATGTACATTGAGCTTAGTAGATAAGCTGAAGCTGTATTCTCTTCAGCTCTCCATGCCTCCTCCCCAAGGGCGCTTAGCAGCCATTTTTTGGCCTGCTAATACGCCTTTTTCCTCCCCCCAAGGGTGCATATCTGCTATTTTGCTTGGACTCCTAATGCTCCCTAATCCCTCCTCCTCCTCCTCAAGGGTGCATTGTAACAATTTTTGGGGGGACTGCTAATGTGAGCTGTGCTACTCCACAGTGGCATGTACCCAGCTGCCATTATGTTTAAGAAGATTAAGCCAGCGCTATTATTTTACACAGAAGACCATTCCTGCCCTCCAACATTTGGAATGCCATAAGGCAAAGGAGGAATTTGAGAAAGAGGAGTAGTGTTGGGTTGTTGGCAGTAAGGACTAATTTTTGGGAGGCTTCAATAGTAATGTTTTACCTGCCTAATACAAGGGAAAAAGTCTGGAGTATTTTCTGCCACTATCCTGGGGAGAGCCCAAAATTACCTACTCTGAGGAGACAGTTCAAACTCCTTGCTGCATTCCCTGGTGGTGGTTGTAAGAATAGCTACCGGGGGAAAACCTAAGACCATAGGCTGGTGACCCTTTAACAATGGGGCTTTGGCTTTAACACTTGTTGATGACACAGCACCAAAGCATCATATATGTATCCTCCCCTATTGCCATAGCTGCCATTATATTTACAAAATTCCATTTATTGGAAAACAAGATTAGACAGGCCTATTTTTTTTGACAGATTTTGTTTTTTTAAATAAATTTTTTTAGATAATTTTACCTTTTTTTTTTCCCCTTGTAAGGCCCTCCCTGCCCTGGTGAAACAATCATGGGCAGTGATAACAATGCAAAGTTGGCACTGCCTTGTTTAACAACAAAAAGTCCTAGGCCTAAACCCCACCTTGTCCCTATGCAAAGATAAAAATGGGTATCTTGTAAGATTAAAAATTTTGCGGGCAGACCATTCTCCCCGCTTTGTCTGTGAATTCGGCTGCTGTACGGGCTATTGTGAATAACCCGTACAGCAGCCCTTTGGTTCAGCTGGACCTCAGCTTAATCCTTCAGCTCTTTTGTGAATAACCCCCCTTAGAATCTTAAAAATATCCCCCACATACCATACATCACTGTTATACTGTATCTGCAGGTGTCCTCCATTTACTCAGAACTAAATTCTTCCCCCTGAGATCTGGGTAATTGTTTGCACCCATCTGACCTGGTACTTTTAGGAAAGGATGGCTGCTTATGCTCTTCTTTCTTAATTACTTGTCCTCCCCCCATGATGACAATGGAGGAGTATTAGCACATTGATAAAGTCACTACTGTGCTTTTCAGTCCTGGAAGCATTGACACCAGTGTGCAAAGTAATAAAGCTGTACAGCCTCACACTGTTGCACCGCCCTTTCCCAGCCTAAATGAAGAAGACAAATGTGTGTATTTATACTACTTGTAAAATTAAAAGAATATCGCAAACAGAATCAGACATTTTCTAGCATAAAGCAGATTTAAGTCTGCTATTTCTCCCTGGTGCTGCCATTTAAAACATAGCACCTAGACTCCACGGATACTTAACTCTCTGCTGGATTAAAGTCAGCTGGCTTCTGTCTTTATGAAAAGATCTGTATAAACAGTGAGTGACTGTCTCTGCTTGAGAAGAAAATCAGTTCCTCAGCCTCACACAGGGTCACAATGTAAAGGTAGAGACAGTACTGGCGGGAACCCCACTCTAGAGTACAGGTTAAGAATTTGCTGCAGACCAGATGTAATTTTTGCAACCAACATTGCAAACAAACAGTCTTGGTTATTTTTCACCACAGAACCACATTATTATTGCTAATAATGCTCAAAACAACACGTATTTTCAAATATAATTTTCAAAAGTGTAAACTCTGAAAATGCCAAGCTAAACAGAAAAACAATTGTCACTCCTACTAGAACAGAACAATCATACACATATTTAAATTTATTATCAATTTATTATATACATTAATAACCTAGAAACAAACTGAACATAGAAAAATGGTTGATCTAATATTAAACTAAGACTGGTAATTAACAAAGTAATCGCAACTTAAAGAGGATTAAAATGACAAGATGAACATGTTAGGACTTCATCACACAGTAATACTTTTGAAATATTTTATTATGGGCATTTAAAACAGATAATTGAAGACAACTTTCTGCTTGTGTTCTGAAGCTCAGAAGTCATTTTTCTCAATGCAATCTTGTCTGTATTTAGTTTTGTCTGGGAAAAAAAAGTAACGTGTATACTGATCCTGTTGTTTTGTTCATGTACCAATGTTATGTCCTTATATGTACTAAAAAATATATAACTCAACATTCATCTTCCTTCCAGTTCCACGTGTGTATGCTTTTTTTGTGGCAAGATCACGTGCGTAGGCTCAGCTTTGCTTTCTAGAAATGAGAAAATGAAAGTGATATATTATTAAGTGTACTAACACTGAATAAATACCTATATTTTGTAACAATCTTTGTAGAAATAAAATATTTGCTTCACTGAATCTGCACTGGGATGTTTTACATTTCTATGATATTATTGTATATCCACTGGAAATCTGATAAAAAAGGGAAAGGGCATTTAGATCTAATGACAAGTGTAAGTGTCAAAATTAATATATAAAGACTTTTATCAAAAGCATTTATAACAATAATATTTTCATAAACACATTGCACTGGAGTGAGCTGCTCAACAGCCTTTGTTTTTCCCAATCCAGCTTTATGCCAAGGAAACCAAAGTTGTGCAGCATCCCTGCATCAAAGATCTTTTAATAAATTAATAAAACACCAATCACCTAGTCTTGGTCATCAATAAATTCTTTCCAGAAATTGGACTTCCATTGGGGTAATAGAACAGTCCGGCACCCATTTGTGGAAGGTTTTAAACATTTCATGTTTCAACAATAAACAGTGGTAAAATTGAAATAAAATAAATACAAAGTGTAGGAATTTACCATTCAGACCAGTACAAGGTAAATCCATTCCTGATTGGTTGTTATGGAATCTGTCCTTAGTGCTTCATGCTTTGCTTCATGCATTGCTTTATTGGAAAAAAAATGTCCATCTCACAGCTGGGACTGGGTAATCTGCTTCCATAAAAAGCACACCAGGAAGGTACGAACAGCGCTCTCGGATAGGGCCTGGGAAGTATGTGTCCCTAACTAGCCTGCAGCCCTGGAAGACAGGAGTGCCTGTGCTAGTGAAAACCAAAAAAGACAGTGAGGGCGCAAAGCTAAGGAGGGTTATCTAGCTGGGCTGAAGCTAGATAACCCTCCTTAGCTTTGCGCCCTCACTTCTGTCTTTTTTAATATGCTTCCATCACACCTTTTGTCACTAATGTGTTTCACAATGTGAACTACTACCTAGCCTATATAATACAGCCCAGTGATGTATATGGTAAGAATAATATTTACCCCATTCGTACACAAATAAAACAAATGAACAAGTACAAAGACTCAGGGGAATTTATCAAAACTGGAGCAGACAAAGTCTGGAGCAGTTGCCAACTGCAGGGCAACCAATCCGCTTCTTTCTTCAGTTTGTTAAGATTTGAAAACAGAGAAGCAGACCTGGCTCTTCGAAACGCGTAGAGCCAGGTCTACGCTTTTTCAAGCCGGACGGCTTGAAAAAGAAGACCTGGCTCTTCGAAACGCGTAGCCGCAACAATGTTCACCTGCCCACACTTGCCTTCTCCCCGAGACTCAGCGCTCGTCGCCCCGGACGCCCCTGCTCGCACCCTCGAGCGCTGAAGTCACATCACTCCCACTGACTCTGCCGCCTGCAGCATCTATCTCCTGGCAACCGCCTATCACAGCCTTCTCTGCTTTCTGTGCCCACCCGCCTCCAGCCGTCCTCTCTCCCCCTGACACACCGCTCATTGTCTCGGGCTGGCTTGCTCGCGCCCTCGAGCGCTGGAGTCTCAACACTCCCATCAGTGATCCTTTGCTGGACACCTCGGGCTCCGTCCCAGTCTCTTCCCCCCCCAAACCCGATCCGCCCAGTACATATGCCCACACTGACCTGACACTTCCAGTCGCCAGACCCATCATTCCCAAGCAGCAACACAGTGCACACCAGCAGCACCTTACCCCCCTCAGTCCCAACATCATCCAATAGCCCATGCCCACCCGTGCCTGTCACCCCCTCCCATGCACTAATCGGACCCAGGCTCCCACCACCCCCCAAACCCTCAATTTCCCCTGACCTTCCCACAAGCACAACTGAATGTTCATAATCCCCCACCAGTGGAGGTTCCCCATCTATTCACCCCTCGTCAATGATATCGCATCAGCTACTACTTTTTGGTAAGTTTTTCAATTTTTGCATAAATCCAATTCCTTATGGTAGTAGCGCTTCTATCCCCATTTTTTGTTCTCCTTGACAAACGTCGGACACCCTGTTCCGCATTCCTAGAAGCTGCACACCTAGCGCGAAAAAACCCACACCCAATCAACCTTACCCTCGTGGTAGCGCTGTGTCAGGGGACTGCAATCCCAATTTTTCAGATTCATTAATGCCACCTCTGGTTGTAAGTCTGCAATAATGCACTGGTTATTAATTCAATTTAAAAAGAAGTCTTACCTTGTATTATGTTTCACAGTTCAGTCACCTAACTCCTCCAGAATATGTTTTTTTATCCCATGCTATCTGCAGTAGAAACTGAGATACAGACTTTTGACAATTTATTCCTCTTTATTCCTAACCGTGGTCTGCAAAGGGGATTGCCTCTTGATTGACAGTTTTTACCTCACTGTCTTCTTTGCAAATTCCCAACACAAAACAAGGCTTCCCTTCCAGTTCTAGTGCCTGTACTGATTCCTTTTGAGGGCGTGCCCCCTCCCTTTGTATTCTTGTGAAATCACTTCCGTCTGCAAAGTGAGATAAGAGCTGTCAATCAAGAGTCCATTTCCTTTGCAGATTGTGGTCTGCAATCAAGAGGAGTGAACTCTCAAAGTCTGTATCTCAGTTTCTACTTCACACAGAAGCATGGGATAAAAACAAAATATAGTGTGGGAGATAGGTGACTGAGCTATGAAAAATAATACGAGGTGAGACTTCTTCTTTAAACACTGATGGGGTAATTTATCAAAACTGGAGCAGACAGAATCTGGAGCAGTGGCTCATAGTAACTTCTTAGTTCTGTGTTCAGTTTATTCAATTAAGCTTTAAAAAAGAAAGATAGACACTGATTGGTTGCCATGGGCAACTGCACCAGATTTTGTCTGATTCAGAGTATTTCCTCCAGGTGCTGTGATACTGAGAGCTAACCAGAAAAGTTATGACAACTTTTTCCCTGGGTTTATCTGATCTTAAAGGAGAACTTTTATCTTCATATGAAGGCAGATAATACCATTTTAAAATGGGTCGTTTTGTTGGGACTAAATGTAAGCAATTAGTACTTTTACATACATTCTTTGCAATGAAAAAAATGCTAAACTGATCTTTATCACTACACTATACTCATTGACAGCTGACACAGAACAGTGTAGGGAATCAATTATGTGATTTTTTTTTTTTTAATGTAATATAACTATTTTGGATACTAATAGTACTTTCTGTATTCATCCAACCTGCAAGTAACACCCTACACATATTTGTATGCGACTATACTACATGTGATAGTGCTGGCATTGACTGGCAAGTTCACTTGTACAATGCTACCTCTTGCTACCTACCTGTACAATGTTACCTTTTTACACTCTTTTGTACCATAACATACATACAACACATACAAAGAAAGTAAAATAAGACCCTCAACAGTAATATCACAGATTGTTAATGTTAATTTTTAATGATGTTTAGCTCCTCTCTCTAAAGCTGTGATAAAGGTGCGCTCCGCCTCAATAAAACATTAGTATAATAAAACCATAACCAGTTCTCTTATATGACACACTTGACAGATCAATACATGTGCTTCATACAAATACTTACAATTCCAGATTCATGCTTTGGCTTTACAGTGATTGATGACTTTTCCTTTTTTTGCTTATATACCTGTTCAGCTTCCTTCAACCTGTATAGCACAAACATCACATTTTGTTGTAACTATTACAGATAAACTTAATAAAGTTCTTTATAACAGGGCTAGTGTCTATAGTATAGATGAGGTTCGATATTTTCACATTGCTTGCACAGCACAGAGGCAGAAATTTCCATGCAGATATGAAGTGGAAATGTAAGTTTCTGTTTTCATATATATCAACTGCATATGCCTTCTTCATGTACAGTTGGTGTACATTGCTGGCATATGTTTTAAAAAAAATACCTCTGGAAAGGTGGAAATGGGCTTTAATGTTTAGGGAAATTAACAAAACCAGTATCGGACAGTCAGAACTTTAATAGGCATATCTCCCACAGCTGATCCCAAAAGAAACAGTTCAATAATTGGGCATAATAAATTATTTAGTAATTGATATTCAGGATACATATTGAAAACTTGAAGCATGTTCAAAACCTCAATAATGATGCACACAAAGTGAATGGAGAATATTCCTAAGTATGTGCATACAACACCTAGGGTTCACACACGTAGTGTTTGTTATATATGCATATTTCAGACTTTTGTAATAGTTTACAAGTTATATTTACATTCATGTGTGTTTATATACATCTACAGTATATGTATTTATAAAATTAAAAAGCAATAGGAGCTTTTAGAAGCAGTGACAGAACTCAGTTATTCTCTAAAATGCAGATACAATCACAAAGAACTTGGCCATTCGTAAAGTAATCTGCAAATAATCCCACACGAAACAACTGGCTTTTATTTCTTGTGCATTGTCTGCAGTTAAAAGCTTCTAAATGCAGTTCAAAAATATTCATGTTCTTTAGATGGTGCTGCCATAGACAAACCTACCGTATATGAATTTAGCTGAAACCGTTTGTATATCACCTACCTTTCTTGTAAAATTAGCTTATTTTCTTTCTTCCATAAATCTTTAAAGTCTGTGCTAAATTCGTGCCAGATGCTGAAGAACGCATTTGGCGACACCTCTTTTTCCCCAAGTTTTGGCTTCACAAAAAAATAGACTACAGTTTCCAAAAACCTGTATAACAAAGAGAGATAAACAGGTTATTTCATCAAGGTCTAGATTGTATCATGTAGATTTACCTGAGATGGATGCTCACAAATTATTCATAAGAATGCATTCCATTTACCACCACACCTTCTGCAATTTTTTTTACTTTGGGACAATATCTGCTAGGTTCCTCCTTGGTGACTTGTAGCCCTCTCTGCATCCTCTGTATCCTTCCTGTCCTGTTTGTTCTGCAGCCAAAGTCGAAGCTAGACATTCTGTCACCGGGGAAAAAAGACAAGTTCTCCATGCAAACGGTGACGGGGCCCCTCCTGATCCACCGCAACACATAATATACACACACAGCAAATATCACATAAGGCCTCATTTACACTGGGCGTACACATCCATGCGGCGCACATGCCTGTAAACAGCAAATCCGGGGAGGGACAGGTGCTGCGTGTGATTGCGCGCACCAGCCTGTTCTTCCCTATGGGAGGACGTGGCTGTACGGTGTCATATGGACACCCGGACTGCACATCCGTGCGAGTACGCATGTCTGCACTTGGACGCAGGCAGGATCCATCAGACACGGAAGACACCGTACAGCTATGTTCTCCCATAGAGGAGAACAGGCTGCTGTGTGCAATCACATGCAGCACCTCTCCCTTCCAGGATCGGCTGTTTACAGGTGTGCACGTCGCATGGACATGTGCACCCAGTGTGAATGAGGCCTAATGCACACACAACACACACACACAACACATAAACACACAGCACGCACAATACACACACAGTACGCACAATACACATACAGTACACAGACAGTACACACAATACACACACACAGTATGCACAATACAGTACACACAATACACACACAGCATTGCTATTCAGCCCGTTCATAGTTCACTATAAGCTGCCAGGGAAGGAAGAGAGGAGGAGGCTGAGACATGAAGAAGAATCCCTCCCAACGCTGCTCCTGGCCAGAATATATAGTGCTGACAGCTTGCCTCCTGTCGTCCTCCTGTTGTATACTCTCATTCCTGGCTGAGTCTCTATCCGACCTCCTAGGCTCCCCTTCCACGGTGCCCTGGCAGTGCCTGCAGGAGGGAGGGAGAGGGGTACCGTCCACCCCAGGTCAGTAAAAAGTAATATTATAATTGTTCCCCCCCCACTAAATTGACTATTGGCCCTGTCAGCGGCGCCCCTGCTGATGTGGGGCCCGGGGGAACACGCCCACCCTGCCCCCTCCTAGCTTCAGCCCTGTCTGCAGCAATACAGAAGGCATTGGAATTGATTTATTAAAGGAGTTCAGACTATTTACTTTAATCATTCATTCATGTGAAATAAAAAATCGTGTTTCTACTATTTTAGTAAATCAACCCCATTGCATAATAATCTAAAAAAGCATTGCAGCAACACAGGGCTATCTGTGGTTGCCCAGGCTATCTGGACCCACTGCTTGCTTCATAAATAATTCTACACGCTCAAAGCTCACAGTATTAGCAATCATGCAGTGAGGTTTCCCCATTATCCTTTAACCTTTTCCCCTTTTAATTCTCATCATTCTCATTCAGTCTACATAGCAGTTTTACCCAAAGCTTACATCACTACTACCATTGCTTGCTCTTGTAATTATATTTACACACCAGCACATTTGCAGTACTTTTTAACACTATTTCTATTACCAAATATTTTGTATCTCTATTACCAATCAACTGGCAGCATTAGCTATCAATAAGTTATGACATCTCCTGGCTTCTCAAAGCTAGCTGTCATTTTTTTTTAGCTTAAACTAGAACTAGATGCTCACAAAAAATACTTAGGGGTCTATTGATAAACAATTCCTGGAGCCACTCACCCTCTCTGGGAACATTCATTTTGTGCCAATAGAGGCAAAATAAATTGTTCTTAGTATATTGGTTGAATGTAAATTAATACTGCATTATGGCCACCAGATAGAGCTGAGGAGCATCGAAAATAAATGATTTCCTATGCTCCTCAGCTCAGTCTAGTGGCCATAATGTGGATTTACATTATATTACATTCAACCTGAAACAGTTTTGCAGGGTGAATGGCTCTGCAAATAGTTTATAAATAGACTCCATATGTTTATGTAAGTAAAACAGTTTTCCCCTTTCTCTGTTCATGTTTTCTCTTCCTCCACTGTGCACATCCCTGAAGACTCTTTTTTTAATTTCCTGTGGACATTTGTACACACCAGCAGTTGCTGAGCATCATGCTTTTTACTGTGGTGACTAAAGCAGAATGTGCTAGCATGCTGGCATAGTGTCTTGAAGAATCACTGCTTTACTGACCATACTTGTAGCAATTTTGAGTTAATTTCAACCGCTAACAAGTTACCAGGAATTGCAAATATCAAATCTGATTGCCAGGAACTAAGCGATCTATTATCCTTGAGTTACATCAACTGCCCAATTTTTAAGTCAAAACTGAGTTTGTATTAACCAAATGTGTCTTTTGGTGTGCAAGTGACATATATTGGTATATACTTTGCCATTTAATGAACTTTTTTTTACTAATGCATGGCACATTAGGAGAATAGATTGCAATATACAGTACTGTGCAATTTTCCTTCGACATCTGAAGAGGTCCAGCAATGCTATCAGCACTGAACTGGCGGAAACCAGTGGGACCCAAGTCTGGCCAGAAGTGGTCTTCATGGAAGAATTGAGGCCAAAAAGCAATATCTCTGATGTGGAAACAAGGCTAAGTGACTCAGCTTTGCAGGAAACCACAGGAGCTGGGGTGCAGAAAAATGGTAACACGTACTCTGGACCAATGAGTCAAAATGATAATTATTTGGTAGTAGGAGGAGGCAATTTGTTCGCCCAAAGGCTGGAAAGTAGTACAATAATGAGTGTCTGCAGGCAACAGTGAAGCCTGATGAAGGTTCTTTGAAAGTCTGGTGCTGCATTTCTGCAAATGGAGTTTGAGATTTGGTCAGGATCAATGGTGTTCTCAATGCTGAGAAATACAAGCAGATATTTATCCATCATGCTATACCATATACCGTATTTTGCGGTCTATAAGACGCTCCAGACGATAGGGCGCAGGGCTTCTGTGACAGAAATTCTGTCACAGAAGCTGCAGTTAGTGACCGCTGAGACATGTGGCGCTGTCTCAGTAATCGCACAGAGCAGACGAAGAACGACGTTCTTCGTCTGCTCAAGGGGCTCTATGGTGAGCACCTATGGGGGACCGTGACGGGTCACGGTCCCCCAGAGGAGCGGGGGACCCCGAAAACCATGGCGGGGGGCGGACACGATCGCCGCCGCTCGATTTAATACAAGGGATTTAACTAGATCCCTTGTATTAAAGGAGCAGCGGCTCCCACTGTACATTCAGCTGTGCTGAGCAGGGCTGAATGTACAAAAAGAAACTACTCGCCCGGCACCCGAAACTGCATGTCCCGGGCGTCGGGCGATAGGTATTAGCTCCATACGACGCAGGCACATTTTCCCCCTACTTTTGGGGGGGGGAAAAGTGCGTCTTATGGAGCGAAAAATACGGTATTTGTCATAAATGAAACCCACCAATACTTTGAGAAGCACTGTCAATTAGAACCAACATTTCTGATTAATAGTTGAAATGACAGCTTTAGCAAAGATCTATTAAAAAATAAATTGAAGAAAAAGGTTGACTGAATTAAAAAGGAACCGAAATGGGGTGAAAATTATTGCAAAAAGCAATCTGATCTTTCCACTGCATGCGATTAAAGTAATTTTGATTCTATTTTCTAGCAGATGAAAACAACATTAAATGTCTTTGATAGATTTGCGATTTTGACAAAAAAATTGAATTACAAATGTGATTGCTCGATAAAAAAAGCAATGTGAATGGCCAGCTTTTCTCTTCTGAAAAGGCCTAACCCCAGAAGCAATGTAAGCCTCCACTCCTAGCCAAACACCCACCAGGCATGTGTGGTGCATGTGGAGCACCATGTTTACAGGTGTTTTGTAAAATGTGATAAAGCCTTAAAAACATACCTTGAAAACTAATACGTTTACAGGTATAGAGACGGCAGGCTGCTCTGCTGCCTTTCAGATATGTAATGATGAAGCTAACAAAAGTTCACTTGCAGTTCCTGTGTTGAGCCTCCAGTTATTCTTTCACCAAAATAGAACTTGTGGGAGAGTGAAAGTAGAATTTGTGAAGCAGGATATAAGATTTTTGGGCATGAATGACCTGAAGTTGTTCTGGGGGTTAAACAGCTAGCTAGCAGTTAACATAAGCTACGAGTAAGTGGGCTTTGTCTTTCTCTTGAAGGATGAAGGGATGTCCCAAGGCCACATGGTTGCTGGCACAGAGGTAGGAAGCTAGGTATGCCACCTATTTGCGGATACCAGAAGGGATCGGCCCCAAAGTACCATCATAGGAGCAGAAAGTAATTGTTGTCACCTTTTACATGCTACTGTGGTGCACAATCAGTAGTGTTTATGCTGTCATCCACTATATAGTGTGTTTACTAGATATTTCCATGTCCACGCTGGTTTACTTTTATAATATCTAGGCTCTGAAAGCAACATAAATATTGTAATGAGCCATAACACACTTCCATACATATCCACAAAAGCAATTGAGGTTTTTAAAGGTATATCTGAGAAACCCTCTGAGAAACCTTATGTTGAATATATAAAAGAAAAGAGTTTATTAAATAACATTATTAAAATGAACATTTCATCAAATCAATACATGTTGAATAAACATCTTTATGCTCCACATGATTATAAGTCCATGCCATGGTATACTTAGTTTTGTAAAATTGACTTCAATTTGGTATCTTCCTTGATTTAATTCATCTTTGATTAAAGTCCACTTGAAGTTCGATGCGTTTCACTTTCACACTTCCTAAGGAACCACAGGTAAGCCTCTTGAAATATCGAGCAGACATAGGCCCTCCCACCAGGGGGGCCTCAAATACAGAGCCTCTTATGGATATCCGCTGGCAACTTATATGGTTGACTTGTAACCCTATTATTTGACTATATTGTGCTGAATGGAATGTATCTGTTGTAAATCCCATTAGCCAGCCACACAAGGATGTTAATTTTCAATGAGTAGGAATTCCAGAATTTTTTCGATATGCGGCAATGATGTCTTAAATTCATGAACTATGTTCCCTTCCTATGGATGACAGGCAGGGTTCTTCCTCCCTCCTATCGTTCTGGGTGCCCCCCCTCTCACATTCCCCTCATTCATCAAGATAAACAATAAATCAAGGAATATACGAAATTGAAATCTATTTTACAGAATAAAGTATACCAGGGAATGGATTTATAATCATGTGGAACATAATATTTATTCAATGTGTATTGATTATATGAGCTGTTTATTTAAAAAATGTTACTTGATTAACTCTGTTCTTTTATATAAGGAGTATCTTAGTGATACCTAAAAAAACCTCTCAACTGCTTTTGTGGATAGTGTTCATTTTTCATTAGGTTGTGGCACCTCAGTTTTATCTATATATGTCACACTTCCCTGTGTGATGATCCGGCGCCGGGTTTTACCTCCTTGGCTTCCTGCCAATCCACTCTGAACCTCTCCATTAAAAGTCCAGCTCACTTGTTCTGTGCCGTTCGAGCAACGTGTCTTTACACCCAGTCGGACTCCCTGTTTATCTCTTGCCTCTGTAATCCCTGCGGTTGCCCACCACCTACCTTGTTTCCTGTGAGTCTGGATTCCCTCTTCCTCACAGCGAGATCCTGTACGTCCTGCATTGGATTGATCATCAGCTTCTTCAAGTGAGTCCTGGCACCTGTGCCTACTTGTGTGGCTGTGTATATGCTTTAACGCTGTCTGCTGATGCATCCAGCACCTCGGTGCTGCAACTAACCTTTATGTCTGTGTGGGCATGCTAGAGGGCCGCAACCTGGAAGGTGTCCAGCAGCCAATCATCCTCACAATTAGAGGCTCTGTCGAACACCTGGCCCTTCTTAGAACTTGCGCCTCTAGTGCGTCCCTGTTAACGCACAGACACCTACTTCCTGTGTTTTCACCCCAGACACCATTTTTTGCACGCTACCTTTTGTCATTTTGTGTGGACCGGTCGCAGACCGTGACAATATATCCAACAATATTATTATGACACTTCCATACATACATATCAGGTTTCAGTATAGCAAATATTTTAATTTTTTGTAGCATCTCTCGAGCAAACCTTAATATTTTTGTCAGAATGAAGACTTCACAACTAGTGCCAAAACCAAACAGGTAAAAAATAAATGCACTTAACATTAACCAGTACTATACTGAACGTAGGACAACAGTGTGTACATGCCTATTCCATTGCTCTGGCACTCAAAAATATTTGTGGTTCTTGTCGCTCAGGTAATAACCTCTAACGTTTATTTCAAGATAAAACCTGCCTCGTCTTTCCCTTTTACACTGTGGCCTAACAAAGCTGCTTACAAACTGTCCAGCCACTGAACAATATTGTGGCTATTGTCTCTCAGATAATAAACTTTAATTTGTTATTGTAAACCTCTCCCTCCCTATTGTGCCTAACCAAGATGCATATATATTGACAAGCCACTGAACAATATTTTTCACTACTATTTCTCAAATAATATACTCTAATTTCTATTTTAAGTTAGAACTTGCCTTCTCTCTTCCTCTTATATTGCAGGCTAACTATGCTGCTTATCAGTGACGCGCGGTACCTCCTATTCCGGGTGAGGCATTCCCCGCCAAGCAGAAGCCCCGCCCCGCCGACCGAAGCCATGCCCCCAACCTGTGCCCAAGCTAGTGTGAAGGAGGAAGAGAGGAGCCTCCCTGTCCCTTAATAACTACCAATCAAAAGTCGGATGCAGCGCTGCCTGTAATTAACAGGCAGCGCTTCATCCATGACAGGTTTCACAGCGGGGAGGATTTCCCTGTTCTGAAACGTGTTAAATACCAATCTGAATGGAGAAAAAGCTGTCAGCTTCAGACCTGACGCTGACAGCTTTTTCCTCCATAATTCTAGGTGAGGCTCGCCTCACCTGCCTCCCGTGACCGCACGTCCCTGCTGCTTACATACTGTCCAGTCACTGAACATTATTTGTGGCTATTGCTTCCAAGATAATACACTCTGTTTATTTCAAGATAAAACCTACCTTCTCTCTTTCTATTTGCTCCCTATTCAAGTGCATACTGTGTTGATGTTAGCTAGATTCTACGAAACACAAACTGTACTTGGTCTATATTTTAAGTATTTTGGGAATATTTTAACAGTGTGGTACTGCAAAAATAGAAGTTCACCAACTATACTAATAAACCTGTAGTACCACTGGCCAATTTGTATAAAGTTGAGGGCTTTAACCTTGTTTTTTAATTAAACCTTCCTATAGCTTTTAGATCTGCTGTGGCTGCTAATTCCACCATTCCACCATCATTTTCAGCCCATTACCACATGATAAAAAAAATCAGGTTTTGCAGCCAAAACTACATAAAAAGCCTTTTGAGCTTTTTTTTCCAAGTTGAAATTAGTTACATTGGGGTGCTGCTGCTGTATTTAAGTCAAGCTAAGTACAAAAGTTTAAATATCAATTACACAGCCAAAATAGGTAATGCCAGAATATGGCGTGGCTAACACCACAAAAGCTTAAAGGCATCTCTCAAGCATGTAATTTAACCACTTGAAGGCCAGGTGTTTACAGCCCGTCCCTGCCCAGGCTATTTTTCTGTATTCAGCGCTGCAGTACTTTGACTGAGATTTATTCAGTCATACAATGCTGTACTGAAATTAATTTTATACCATTGTTTTGGGGACACATAGAGATTTCTTTTAGTGGTATATAATCACCACTGGGGTTTTACATTTTTACTATATAATGAATAAAGTGCCGACAATTTCGAAAAAATAAAATTTTCCCTACATTATGTTAAAAACATTTATTATTACCCACATTTTTTGATAAAATATAAAAGATGGAGTCACATCGGGTAAATAGACATCAAACATGTCAAGCTTTAAAATTGCGTGCCCCCATGAAATCGCAAAAAAGTACCATACCCAAATTGGCTATAGGCGACCCTTTAAAAACTTTTCTCGCTCATCAGTTTAGTGTTATCAGTGATTGATGGCCCTAGAATTATTGCCCTCACTCTGACATTCGCGGTGATATGTAACATGTGCGGTGCAATAGGCGCAATAGTCCTTTTCGCACGTAGGTGCACCCGCCGCTTGTGTGTATGTTGGGGCGGGGGACTTTAAAAAATGTTTTGTGTTTTTTTTAATTTGTTTTTATATGCGACTTAAATTTTTTTTTAAACTTTTTATTCAACTTTTTTTAACTTAACTTTATTGCTATCACATAAGGGGCCTATGATAGTCAATTTACACAGAATGGTCCTCTTTATGGAGACATCAGGGGTCTTTAAGACCCCTAATGTCACCTAGGGACCTCCAAAGAAGCTGAAGAAGCAGAGATCTGCTTCACTAGCTTCTTTCCAGCTACAGAAGCCAGAGAATGACAGCTGACAGCTGATTTACATCACTTCCTGCATTCAGAGAACAGAGGAGAGATCAGAGGTAGATGGTGTGATGAACTGCCTCTGATCTCCGGTGACAGAGCCTCCGTGTCGGTCCCAGGCCAGAACTTAGTATCAAGATTGGCTCCTCATAAACCTTAATGTAGTTCTCTACGTTTGGGTTTCGAGGACTTCAAGCAGGATTTGACGACCCCCCATCCCACTGTGAATCGAACCATGGCAGATTCTCTCATCCTTATGGTATTCTATATTTATACCTTAAATGAACTTCAGAAAGAAAATGTTCTGTGTTTTCATGGTCAACGTTGGCTGTAAAAAGATAAAGATAAGCAGATTAGTTTATATATAATGATAGATGCAGTCCCTAAAAACTGAACAATGATCAGAGTTGTTTGACTTTAAAAGTCAAACCCTAGGGTTCCTTCATTAAAGTAACCATTTCACAATTTTTTAAGAATTCCAGTCCAATCACTAGAACTGGCCCTGTGAAATCCACTGGGAACCCAACAATTTTGGGATTGTCAATCTCCATGGTCTCCCACAGCTCACTGTTTTTTGACTCATGTCATGGCAGGAGTGGGGATGTGAGTTCAGAGAGGTAAGAATGGAGCTGTGGGAGACCACAGAGATCAACACTACCTGAAGGGTTGGCTTCTCAGCAGACCCTTCTAGTGATTTGACCAGTGATTTGAGCAGACCAGTTCTAGTGATTTGTGCAGAGAAAAGTATTTAATGCCTTTTTCTACAGAAAAGATGGCTTTTAAAACAGTGTTGCTTTAAGACTTACTGTATACCACCAAGAGAACACATTGTTGATTATTATTATTATAATAAATGAATTCCAGTAAACACATGTTACTGTGTTTTGGATAGAGTGGTGAAGTGCTAGAGCCTCTGTCAGATTTTGATGGGTTCCTATATCCTTATGAGAAGGCAAGACAGGAGAGGATGGAAAACCCTTTTAACAGAGACAGAAACTGTGTCTGTGCCATTCCAGTGACAACCATTCCTCACATTTCTTGTCATGGTGTCACAGGGACAGGAAGGGAAAATACATTTCAACACTAGGGTCACAGACCGACTCACTCTAGCCATACCCAAAACGTAGTTAATAAGTATCAACAGTACTAAAGCACCTTAGACTGTGTTAATTTAAAATATTCAATTAGGATCAGAAAAATGAAAAAAAAATTACATTGCAACTGTTGTACATAAATCTGAACTCTGCCACCCTTCAGTGGATTTCTGCAGGCAGCTTGTATTGGACCTGCTTGGTACCTCCAACAGTTCTGGTCTCTTGCACAGGCTATGTACAGCCCAGTGATGATGTCAATGAAACCTTTGCAAGGTAAAATCTGGGTTTTGAAAGGCGTTTGGTGCACACAGATTGTATTGGATAATTAAAAATATATTTCAATTAAAGTTTTGGTGCTTTGAGTTCAGGTTTAAGTACATTACTATAGTAATTCGTCTCCTACCTCAATATCTGTTCTAAAGCCATTTTTTGTGGCTTATCTAAAAAACAGGCTTTATAATAATTATAATTTAACTCAACATTTCATCACAACAGAATAATACAGGATACATCGTTTGTACCTTTGCTCAGAAACTCTTCTATGTTGTCTTTGAAAGGCTGTAAATATTCCGCCAAAGATTTCTGGTAGACCTTTGCTGCTTCGGTCTTACATGCTGTTAAATATAAAAAATAGCATACTTCAACAATTTGTGGATATTTGAAAAGAAAGACAAAAAAGGTCTCTATCTCAAAACATCTCACTGATGAGAACCCTTCTCTTCAATATTATGGTGGTCAGCAAACCTGAGACAATGTTCTAAAATATATGTGGGTTCTCAGTAGAGCTGCAGCTAACGATTATTTTCAAAATCGATTAGTTAGCCGATTATTGAGTTCGATTAATCGGTTAATCGGATAAACAATAAAATACATTTTAAAAAATGGCTAACAGCGTGTGTGGAGCTGTGAACAGTGCCAACTGATCGGAAGCCGATTAATCGATTATTGAAAAAGTTGACAACTTTTTCAATAATCGATTATAATCGATTATGTCGATTAGTTGTTGCAGCCCTAGTTCTCAGTTAGTATAACTTTCATATTATCAAATGTCACAATCATTATATAGCATATAATGTGTAAGCACACTTCCGATGCTGTGATACTTTCTCCAGTAGTGCCATTTGCGAAGGTTTCCTTAATATATGTGGAATTCGTTGGCCATGAATCATTTCTTCGCCTCCAAGAAAGGCAATCCATTTAACATATTGTTGTTAAAGGTGATTAATCACCAGAGAAGAAGAAGACAAACACCTGGCCAAACTCTGGCTTCTCAACCGTAGAACCCTTTCTTAAAACTCTTTAACCAAAGACATTACAAACTATACTCCAGAGGACATTAGAATTTTTTCATGAATGTCCCATATTTCTTTTACAGAATTAAAAAAAAATGCTATATCCTAATATAAAACAAAACATTGTAAAATGCTCCTACCTTTAACATTTCTTTCAAGAATATATACTGTATATTTACTTAGTGATATAACTACTCCTATCTTGTTCAGTAAGGGGCCCATGAAAAGTTTAGTTTGCACCTATACTGGTTTACTGGTTTACTGGAATGCTGACAAGCGTTATAACTCCCTAGAATAATATGACTATTTAGAAGCCCACTTGTAACAAAAAAAAATATATACAATGAGGGTACAGTAAAAGGTGAAATGATTTTAAAGAGAACTATGGCCAAACCTTTTTTGGCATTAGTTCTCTTTTGGGTCACAAAAGACCAAAAACTTGCCCACTATATGCTGACAGTGCAGAGCTGCACTGCAGCAGGGAAAGATCCCGCCAATATTGTCAGGATCCACCCCGCTACCTGATTTACAGCCACTAGAGAGGCAGAGCCAGCTGTGCCTGCCCCTGGAGGAACAGAGAGGGGAGGGGGGAAATCCACGTGGGGACCGGTGACTGACAGTCACTGCTCTCTGCTGGGAGAAGATCATGAACTGAGTGATCAGCGGTACATGGTCGCTTAGTTCTCGGTCTATAGAGCAAAAATGTGACAACTGCAGAGAAGGACCACTGCTATCTGTCTCTCTGCAGCGATTTGACAACTCAGCTGGGGGTATGTTGTACCACAGCAGAGAACCACTGCTTTCACACAGAAAGCAATAGGCTTTCTCTGCAGCTTAATGTTTGGACATTTCTACTGGCACTGAGGGATCCTTTATAAGCAATGCTAAAAGTAAGTCCGCCTTCTTTTTTGCTGCACTCTCAATCAGCTTCTCTCGTTAGTTTGCTTGTTAAGCTTTAAAAAATAAATATTAAAGGATATTGGTTGCGACGCACAGCTACTTCAGATTTTGCCTGCTGCAGTTTTGATAAATGACATGTGGACATATTATGTCCTCAATTTTTTCTTTTGCCGGTGGCTTGATGCACAATCAAAAAAATTGTTGGTTGCTTGGTGCACGCTAAAAAACTTTGTTAACAACTACATTTCTTTAGTTGCTAACTAAATTCTTTGCTTACATCTTGCCAGTGGCGTAACCAGAGTTATGGGCGCCCGGGGCAGAACATTTTTTTCGCCCCCCCCATATTATATAAACATCCAGTAGAACTGTACCCCCCACCCCCACACATATATATCAGCTAAGGAACTACAAGTCCAAGCATGCCATCATTGTCCCTGTACACCCCCCCACACACACACATATCACCCAGGGAACGGCAATATCTGGTTGTTGTACAGGGGCAATGAGGGCATGCTGGGACTTGTAGTTCCCTAGCTGATATCTTATAAAGCTGTATTCCACCTGAAAGTACTACAATGCACAATTTGAAATAGCCAATAGCAGGCTGGCTATTTCTCCAAGCTGCTTACATTCACCTGTCAGCTGTGGAAGCTAGCCGGATGCTGTCAGGGGGGTGGATGCTTGAGAGCTACTATTAACTGTCAAGCAACCAGAAACAAGAGTTGTCGGACACCTACCGATCCCCATGGGTGCTGGATAACTGGGAGTTTACTGTATTTATATTTACTTTATAATGTGTACAAATGTGAGAATTTGTATGAAAAATACTCTTGCAACGAGTGTTCGGACATACCGTTCAAGTCTTTTTTAATTTTTCGAAGATCTTTTACAAAGTCTTCAAACTTCATCTGGGAAGCTTGAAAAAGATCTTGAGGTTCTGGCAGTATAAAAAGACATTCTTCTTTACCCGCATTCTGTAAATGAAAACAGCAGTTAAAATGGTAACACCTACAGCAGTTCTTTTTAAATGTTTACCTGTAAACCTGGGCCAACCAAACTAAACATATGATTAAAAAAAAAAGTATAAGGGCCTGTTCACACCAGGTGCATTCAGCTATGTTTATCAACACAGGCTCAACACAGGCTCAACACAAGGGCACATAGCCAACAAACAATTCTTCTCAGGGCCGGTGCACACCTAGGCGATTTATCGCGTGGTTTGAGTCGTGTGATTTCGCGCTAAACACAGATTTGCATTGAAATCAATGGAGGCTGTTCACACCTTTTGTGGTTTGTTGCGCAGACAAAATAGCCTGTTGCATAAAAAGGTACAGGAGCTATTTTCGGGTGGTTGTCACGTGGTTTGGGTCCCATAGACATCTATATGCATTGAAAATCGCGTGACAATTGCACAGTTTTCAAAGAACGGGCGCGCCAACGAAAACGCCTGAAGACCGCTCACCAGCTCAGTCGCCGAGGTGTGAACCTAGCCTGAATGTGTCCTGTTCACACCACACATGTGCAGTGGTGTATGTTGTGTATAAATGCAGCATGTCTGTATTTTTACAAACATAGTTTTACATAGTATTTGAGGTTGAATAAAGACATTAGTCCATCAAGTCCAACCTATTAGGATCTCATTCTAGGAGTACCTGTACCCCTGTATATTACGGTCCCTTAAGAAATCGTCCAAAAGTTTCTTGAACAATTCCACATTATTTGCTGAAATCACCGCCTGTGGCAGTGAGTTCCAGACCCTAACTGATCTTACTGTGAAGAACCCCCTTCGAGGTCCTCTTCGAGTATCATTATTTCAAGCTCTTCTAATATATTTGACAGACTTCTAGCGTTGGTGTACATACATTTAATTCCTCTCTTTTTGTGGGACAAAAGTTTACTACCTTGTTGTTCCCCACTATTTTTATTGTTATTATTCTGCCTTGATTTCGGTCGTCCGTTGGTAGTTATACTTACATGTGCCAACGGATTTCCTATATTGACTGGAGTGAGCCCACTACTATTAACTCCCTTTTTACTACTTTCTATGTTATTAGTGCAATGAATGTCACTATATGTCAATGCAACACAGTGGTTACATGATTTTTTACATGGTTATTGTCACTTTCAATAAAGTTAAAAAAATTAAGTAAACAGTTGTAACAATATATCGCACCACCCTTCACAATGCACACCAGTGCTTGCTGTTATATGCATTATGCAGGCTGGTGTGAACCAGCCCTAAGAGTAATTTTCCTATAGTGAAAACCTTATGTCAAAATGCAGGGTGCTAAAGTTATATGCAAATCTCAAATCTTTCTGTAAAATCCTTTTTTGCCCCACCACCCTTCCTGATTTAAAATCATATGCTCAGTTTGATGTCCAGGTTTATGATAGGTTTACTTCAAATAAATATAAGTTAAAGGTGTTACTCTTTGATTTGAATAATTTCAATAATTCATTAATTCGTACATCTATACTGCAGTGAGTAATGTCAACATTTGTGTACTTATTTCTTCTAAATCTAAACTCAGCTATCTATAATTACTTACGACAAGATCATTTAGGGCTCTAATCAAAAAGATGCCGAAGGATCCAGCCGTAGCTTCGGCTGATCCTTCGGCTAGCTTCGGTTGTGGGAGCCCCCCAGTTCAGTTTCAGTTGAACCTAAGGGCTGCTGCACGGACTATTCACTATAGCCCGTACAGCTCCCGAAGGCAGCCGAGCCGAAGGCATATGCTTCGGCTCGACTGAGGCGAAGTGACAGCCAAAGCGGGCCGAACGCCTCGCAAGTGACAGCTGGGCGGAGCCAGCCGTGATCTCACGGCTGGCTCCGCCCAGTTGTAATGACAGATCAGTGTCCCCAAATGACCCGGGGATGCTGATCTGTCATTAAATAACAACTGGGCCAAGCCAGCCAGTTGTTAAACCTTTAGCCGGGACCTGCTAGAAGACTCTAGCAGGTGATGGCCAATAGGAAACAGTTGGGTGGAGCTACATGTCACTGCTAGCTCCACCCAATTTTTTAAAATTATTTTCTTATTCAAAAAATCTTTATTTATTTTTTTAATGTATTATTTATTTACATTTTTCAACTTTTTTTTTCTTCAACTTTTTTCACTATTTGCTATTCTGCTCGGTACCACGGAGGTATCGTGCAGAATAGCCAAGATGAATGCCACTCGGCGGCATTCGGCTATTCACTTACTGCCGTTCGGCCCTTATGTGAGATGTTGGATGTTGGATCAGCTGAGTCGAAGTCCTTCTGCAAAGCATGTTCAGCTGACCGCAGTGCAGTTGAAGGCAGCCGATGTATGGCTGAAATCAGCCATACTGAGACATAGTGAATAGCCATACTGAGACGTAGTGAATAGCCAAACGTTGTTCGGCTCACTTCACTACGGCTCAGTTATTCACTCGGCTCCCGGCAGCTTAGTGAATAACCCTGTTAATTTTTGGTTCTATGATATAAAAAAGTAGGAAACCTGCTTGCCTTTATTTTCAGAAACAATTTGAATAGATGTGATGGTAAGATGAGCTATATACTGAATGTATCTAACCTAGATGCACAATTTAAAACAGAACGGTAGCGCAGTGAAAGAATCAGTCTGAATGACATTTACTAAATCATTTTTCATAAATCTTAGGATTGGGTTTTAAAAGGTTTCTCTTTTTTAAAGTTTTGGAGAATAAAAAGAATATAAAGAACCTATCATAAGAGAAAGAGCTACGAGTTCCTCATCCTTACATTGCATTAAATCATTGAATGTCTAGCGTGCTTACTAAGTAATGCATCCAGATAATGCGGAATATCGTAAAATATGTTCAGTAAGTCGCAAACATTAATATGTCGCAAGATATGTCGTATTTATTTATTTTGTAACCTGTGTCTATATTAATTATTTATTTGTCTTTTTCAGTTCTTTTTTTTGTTTTAATTCCCGCATTAGCAAAAACCATTATTTTTTTAATTGCTGGAAGACCAACACCAATAAAATGGCATTTAACAGAACTATATGCTACCTACTTTTGACAGTCCAGGAACTTAAACATTTTTACATGAGGTCACAGTGCAGCCCTATGCTTATGACAGGTTCCCTTCAAAAGATATACTGTCATGAAGGAAATGCCTAACTTTTGTTAGTTGCAATACCGAACAAGATCTATGCATTGTGACTTAGAATAAATAAAACAATTATTTTACAGAGGATATGAAGAGGAACAGATATGGAAGAAGAATAGTTATGTGTGAATGTTTGTTTATGTTAGTTCAACATTTAATGCAATAACACATTGTACTCAAAATTAGGCAGGGATGGCTGAGTCTCCAGTGGTGACTATTGTATTCACCCACAGCACCCACATCTGCCTTCATACTCACAGTGACTGCATCTGATAAATCCTGCCTGATTCATTTGATTTTTATATCGACATTTGTCAAGCTGGAGGCTAACAGGGCCACCCATGGCTTGAATTTTCATCCGATACAGTGGAAATCAGCCACAATGTGAGCCGTCTATGTCCAGCTTTAGAATCTGAAATTGGTTCTCTTCTGCACTCTCTTAGTACGGGTCTCCCTAAAGGTGCCCATACACTGCACGATTCTCGTACAAGAATCGCTGAAAATCCCGCGATCGTACGAGAATCGTGCAGTGTATGGAAGGCGTGCGACCGTTTCTACTGTACGGTCGCACGTCTTCCGTCGAACCAGCAGGCTAGAAAACCCGACAGGAATCGTACGATTCTCGCCGAGTTAGTGGCCTGCTGGTTCGACAACTGCCGAACGGGCCCTTGTGCGCACGCGCACACAGCCCGTTTGCAGTCATCGTAAGCCTGCCCCTCATTGCAGTCATCGTAAGCCCGCCCCTCAGGGGGGCGGGCTTGCGATGATCGCAAGTACGATCTGCCTGTCCAAGATGGGCAGATCATACGTTTTTTTAAGTACTTTACAATCCTCGCAAGACAAAAGTCTTGCGAGGGTTGTAGAGTGTATGGGCACCTTAAGAGTTGTATGCTTAGCCCCCTGTTGATTACGTTGTATACTTATGATTGTGTTCCCTGATATGAAGGGAAATTCAATTGCAAGGTTCATGGATGATACCACCATTGCTGGGCAGATTACAAACTACCATGAATTGGGCAGGAATAGAAGGTCTGTCAAGATGGTGCATGGAGAATAACTTTTTGTTCATTGTTAATAAAACAAAAGTACTAATAGTTGACTTCAAGATATTCTTTATCACATATTCCTGTGCTTATAAATGCAGCGGAGGTGGAATGTGTAAATAGCTTCATTTTCTTGGGGACAACTATCACATGGACAGCATATATATTAATTTCAGTTGTAAAAGCTCAGTGACAAAAAAGGTCTCAGCATTTTTTATCAGGCATAGCAGGAGCCCGTGCAAGCACATAGAAGTAGGTAATGAATACATCATATAAACAAATATTAATATATTGCCCTGCTTAAAAATAAGTCAGTTTTGGCCAAAATGTAATGAAAAATTAAAAACAGAAATGATATGGCTAAAAAAGGCCAAAAATTAAAACCCAGCATGAATGATGTGTTAACCAGCTATTAAGCCATCATTAAAGCAAATAGATAAAAACAAAATATTTTAGTTTAATTTACAAAAGGACAGGCAAGTATAGAACATTTTCATTTTGTATCCACAAATCACAAATATACAGTACAATACAAAAAAGAAAACTTTAATTCCTTCTAGGGCTGAGCCCAGGTTTGGACCCAACTTGAGCTCATTAAAACCCAGAAGGAAGATTTTAGTGCTAACCCAATGAGCTGGGTTGCTGCATGTAAACATAAGGGCAGGGTGCTGGTGACATAATTGACTTTACATGGACACATGATCATATTTCGTCGATGACATTGTGTAGTGGGGATAAAAAAAGATTCTGTAATGCACACTTCCTGGCTATGCAATTCTTCTTCCTCATTGCCTCCATTGTAGGTGGAATAGTGTACTTTATACTTATAGCTCCCTCACTTGCACTGGTTTGTGCACACCAGGACTACAACACTTTGTAAAACACAAAGTGGTCTATTCACAAAAGGGTGAAGAGTTTGGAGAAGGCAGGACTGGATAAAGCACAACTAGAACCTAATTGCCTACAGAGAGTAAGATGACAGTTTGACCACTCAAGCATGTCTTGTATGGCTATGGCATTTAATTGTGTTATTTTGATAAGAAGGCTAGTCTTTCCACGGAGTGGGGCAGTTAGCATGGAATGGGAGCACTAAGCATTAAACTGGTCCTAAAACCACAGTGCAACCAATAAAATTCTTGTGATGGAAAATTTTCAGATCGATCCACTGTATACTCAAATATTTGTTGATTGGTCACCTATACTACATCCTAGAGATCATCCAATAGCATACACAATAGAAATGAACAAGCAATTAAGAATCTTTTTTTCACTAATTAGATGCAATATGTAAGAATTTAGCGAAAGTTAATGCTAGTCACATGTTTTGATCTGATTGTACAATATCCTTTATATTTGCTAAAAGCTCTGTAATGCAAGGACTTAACTGATTTAATATAAATCGAATGAATTGTTTAGGTAGGCCCTTGGTGGGGGTAAGATCTCCTTCTGTATTTAATTCCTCCCTGTGCAGTAAATAATTATTCACTTTCAGTGTTTGGAGTGTCCCACTCCTATACTTCCCTACAAGACATCAGTGACTTCAGGAAAAGTACTGTGGACAAGGGCATTAGTTAAAGTACAGTTACAGTATTTGTAAATCTGTTAAACAATAACTTCACTTTTTTTTAAAGCTTACTTTAGATCTACTAAATACACAATTAAAAGTGTTTATCTGTTGATTTTTGAGTAAAAATAACTGTTGATACTGTAAAATATTGCAAGATGACTGTTGGACAATATTGAATAACTTAATGATATGTCGGACTATATGAATTTTAGTAACATACAAGCTATGTATATTTAAACATATCCTCTGCAGGGATTTGTTTTGTTCTATTATGTTTGTTTTAAATCATGAATGTATGTATAATAGTATTTAACATAATACATTTTGAAATTATATTTTAACATATCTCTCTTGGACGGTCATTTACACCCCTCCAAAAACCCTTCCATTTCCTCTATTTGTCTTGAAACTATATAATTAGGGGCAGAGGTGTAAAACTAGGTGCCCACAGGGAGACAACCCAGGATTTAGCAAGATGACTGTTAACAGCCAGCAATGTTCTAAATCCTTGTGTGGACTACAAAACGCCTCCCTTCCCCCCTATGTTATGGATAAGATGATAGGGTAAGTTGTTCTGTAGTCCCTGTCCTAGGGGGACAATGCTTCTCCTCCATAGATACAATATGGTGAATAAACATTGTTAGCTTAGGACAGGAAGTATGTTACTGGCAGGATCACCAGGTGAAAAAAAGTAAAAAAAAAGCTTAAAAAAGAAAACGAATGTAGTCAGCATATTTCATGACTGGTAAGTTGCAACATAAACATTTGTTCTTGGGATTTTTTCTATCCTGAAATGGTTTGTGCACACCAGGACTACAACACTTTGTAAAACACAAAGTGGTCTATTCACAAAAGGGTGAAGAGTTTGGAGAAGGCAGGAGAAGTGAACAATCTAGGACAAATTAGCAGAACTGGAAAGTGAGCTGAATTGGAGAATTTTTCCAAACCAGCTATGTTGTCCTAGATTGTTCACTTTTCCTGCGTTCTCCAAACTCTTCACCCTTTTGTGAATAGACCCCAAAGTGTTGGGAACACCTAACCCCCGGGGAGGGAATTTCAACTCTTCACATTAGTCTGTGCTATCCTATTTTTCAAATCTTTGAATCTATCTAAATACAGTGCCTGCTCATTAAATAATAAACTCAGTACAATGTACTAGAAGAATAGCCTATAAGGAAAGATGCAGAGTTTATAATACTTGGAAAGCAATGCCATCCTGCCCCAAAACCTTGTGAATGCTTGTTTACTTTTAAGAAGGAAAAATTATATGAAACTAAAATGAAGTGAATTGAAAGTTTTTTTTTTTTTAACAATGATCGTGGCAAAAATCACCCAGCCTCATAGTTCTAGCCGACCTGTGACAATGAAACTGTCACACGTCAGCTCAATAGATCGGGAAGTGAGCAAACACATACCGTCGCTCGCTCACTTCTGCATTCTGTCCCTGCAGAGAGCCGTGACTGTCACTCACGGCTCCCTGCAGGGATTCCCCCCCCCCTGTCCGATCCTCCAGCGCTGACTGGAGGACGAATGGGGGAGGGGGTGGGTACAGCCGGCTCTGCCTCTAGATAGGCAGAGCCAGCTGTCAATCACGCAGCTGTGTGGATCTTGTGTCGGGATCCGTCCCGGCTGCAGCGGTCTCAGTATACTGAGCTATGAGTTATGGGAAGACGCTAGTTTATGTCCTCCCGTGACCTTGAGGAGAACTGTGGGGAAAAACACTAAACCCATAGTTCTCCTTTAAGCAGGCTGCTACTTCTGTGATGTCTCTCTAGATAATCCATTGTGCTCATGAAAGTCTTTGTTGTGTAGTAAATATTAATATGTACAAGGGAGGTTATATACATACAGTAGAAAACCAAAAATAAAACAAAACTACACAGTATGGCTTATTCTGCTTGTACTTTATATAACCTACATCTTGGTGGAAATTATACCTGTCGGAATAGGTAAAAGACAACACAATTTAAAAATAATGTATTATAGAAGGAATTTCCGGGTTTTTAACATTAACCTTTGCAGTAGGGCTGACTGCTGAAGGATCGAGGATGTGTCTTCTTTATTTCCGCCCCCTAGACCAAAATGACACTTAACCCCTGCAGTGCAGGGATAGCCTCACTGCAAGGGTTCATTTAAAAAAAATACAATTAAAAAATAAGCTTACTATAATGTTATTTGTTGCCTTAACAGTCTATATTCTGTAATCATAGACCTCATAGGACTGCTGTGTGACCTCCAACATCCTCATATTTTATTTTAAGTGGTCATTGTTATTTCGTACTTACAACATTTGTCATTCGCAATGTACAGTATATGTTTCTTATCCAGGTAAGTGTTATATACTAAACTATTAACATAAAACAAAACATGCATACTTACATCATCAAAATGGCGTAAGTAGTATGAAACAATATATGAAAGCAGGTTTCGGCTGTTATCCTACATAAAGACAAAAGATAGATATAGCATATTATTGTTAACATGTACTGTACTAATTTCTTTAAAACTATTTCACTTTCTTTTTACATTTACTTTATGCTTTAGTGTTGCATTGACTGTTTACTCATTTTCTTACAAAAATATTTATTTCTCTGTAAACAGCTTATAGGAAGACAAATCACAGCATGATCGGACTGCCCTCAGGCATCTTCCAACCAGGTGTATAAGGCAGTTGCACAAGTTTTTCTTGTCTAGCTATTCACTACTTTCCTACATAAATTTAGGCCAGCAGTACCTGCTGCTGCTCCATAGAGATTTGAACATCATGCAATCTGGCCAAAAACAGCTATATTGGGAGACTGTCATTCAAAATCTAAAGGCACCTTCAGCAGCAAAACATTACTCTTTAATTAAATAAAGCTTCAGATGGCAGCAGGATATGTGAACTTGATCCAACTTCCATACAATTGCTTATTTCCCATTAACATGTACACTCATCTTATGCATGGTATGGCACAAGCCTGATCCCCACAACAATTATAACACATGGAATATTGTTATCAATAAAATTGAGATGATGTTTTTGGCAAGTGCTTTTGAACTGTTTTTTTTTAATCAAAGCTTTTTATTAATGTTGGCTGCAAGATCATTTTGTGTATATGTGTCCCTTATGAGAGTGTCCCAAAAATTCTGAAAGCTGAAAAATCTGTTTCCATTAGAAACTACAGTGGACCCCAGGAAAACCAAGCAATCAAGTTCTAAGACCCCAATATACAGTCTTCTATGGTGCGATTCACCTCTGCTCTACACCAAAGTATAAAACGAGTGGTTGGGATACAGTGAACAAATGCATTTGGCAGAGTAATGAGGAATCAGCATGGAGTGCCTGAAAAGGAATGATAAAGTTTTAAAGTTCTGAATTGTGCAGCTTACTAGTGTTATAAACTCAAATACTTACGAATTTACCAAAAACAAATATGTTGTCACGCATAGGGTGTCACGAACGGGGCTCATGGGTTTATACTGGAATCAGTAATGTGGACGCTCTTGCTACACTGACAGGGACACCTAGAGAAGATGGGTGTAAGCTGTGAAGGCTGACAACTCCCAGAGCTGGAGTACTAGAAGGGAGCTGACTGAGGCAGTGGGAGACAGGTTAAGCTGGAAGGTCAAGTTACTAGGCAGGGTGCTGCAAAGCTGAGTAGGTGGTATGGGGTCCCCCACGGTGTGGAATCTAAGGGCCAGCCAGTGTTCACCAGAGCTCCTTATGGTAGAGATGGACTTGGCTGCGTGCTGACCCCAGGTTACAGTCGCCAGGTTCACCCAACTCAGCTAACAGCCAACAATGGTTGACAAGGCCAGAGTTCTGGACAGGCTGCAGACACACATATGACAGACAAAACAAATGACTAGGATTTCCAGGGACAATCCAAAGGATAGGGACAGACTGAAGAATGGGATTTCCAGGGAATATCCAAAGGATAGGGACAGACAGAAAACTGGAATTTCCAGGGACAAGCCAAAGTTCAGGGCAGACTGAAGACAAGGATTTCCAGGGACAAGCCAAAGGTTGGTGCACAGATACAATTCAAGAAATTCAGGATCATCAGCAAACAGGGGGCTCAGCATCTAGCTTAGGAAAGCGTTGCTCTGGTAGCGCAACGTGCGTTGCACTGGGTTTAAATACAGTCAGCAAGAGGGAGGATCCACAGGATTGGCCACATGCAGACTGCACTGAATGGCTGAGAAATTGCATAAGGCTCTATTCACACAGAAGCGGTTGTCCGCGCATATTCGGCCGTATGAATACGCGCGGAGCAACTCTAAACATAAAAACAATGCACTTTAATGTGTATTGTTCAGACTTTTGTGGTATGCAACCACGCGGCCTGTGAAATAGTCCAAGCGCGACTTTTTGACAGATTCCGCACGTTTGCGGCTATGGTAATAGCCGCAAATGAGCGGAATCCATGAAGATGAAAGATTTTAGTGTTTGCGTGCCGCGCAGTCTTCTGCACGGAAAACCGTAAGGGAAACGCAAACGCTATATGTGAATGAAGCCTAAGAAACAGCAGGAGAGGTCCGCCGATGCCTAAAGCTGCCAGACTTGTGCAAGAGCAATTTAGGTACGGAGGACTACAAGCAACAAAGCAACCCTGCATGCCTGCAGAACCAGGGGTGAGGTCTGCATATACTTGTAGAACTATAAGTAACAGCTCAGCTGCAAGTCTGCAGCTGAACTGTGACAAACGGCGTTAATTTACTAAAGGCAAATAGGCTGTTCAATTTGCAAGGGAATTGCAATTTGAAGGAAAGTTTCTCCTTGCTATGGGAAACTTCCCCTGCAAAGTGCAAATTCAGTTGTGAACAGTCTATTTGCATATAGTAAATCAACCCCAAAGTATCTGTCGATGATCAATTTGTACTTCTTAGTAATTTATGTTCTGTTGATCAAGCTCAAATTGCTTTCCATGTAGGAACACTAATAGAAAAAAAGTGTTAATAGTTTATTTTTTATCAATTAACAAAATGAAAAGTAAATGAACAGAAGAATATATATATATATATATATACACACACACACACACATGTGAAACTGGATGGACCTTGGTCTTTATTCAACCTCACCTACTATGTTACTATGAAGAGAAATCCAAGTCAAATCAATATTTTGCGTGACCACCCTTTGCCTTCAAAACAGCATCAATTCTTCTAGGTACACTTGCACACCGTTTTTGAAGGAACTCGCCAGGTAGCTTGTTCCAAACATTTCAGAGACCTAACCACAGATCCTCTGTGGATGTAGGCTGCCTTAAATCCTTCTGTCTCTTCATGTAAACCCAGAAAGACTTAATTATGTTGAGATCAGGGCTCTTCTTAAAGGAAAAGTATGGGGTTAAGGCTTTTCCCCATAGTTCTCCTTAGGATAACGGGAGGACACAAACTAGCATCCTCCTGTCACCCTAGGCTCAGTATACCGCTAGCTGTAGCTCACGGTATACTGAGACGCCGCAGTATACCGCGAGCTGCTGCTAGCGGTATACTGAGACGCCGCAGCTGAAGCGGATCCCGACAATTGTGACTGACAGCTGGCTCTGCCTATCTAGAGGCAGAGCCAGCTGTATCCGCCCCCTCCCACGTCCGTTACGCCAGTCAGCGCTGGCAGATCGGAGCGAGGGGAATTCAGCCCCTCACCTGTCACGGCAGGGAGCCATGACAGGATCGAGAGGTGAGCGAACGCCGGTATGCGTTCGCTCACCTCCCGATCTACTGAGCCGACCTGTGACAGTCTCATTGTCACAGGTCGGCTAGAACTATGAGGTGAGTGAAAAGCACTCAACTCATAGTTCTCCTTTAATGACATTCACTGTTTGTTTGGGGTCGTTGTTCGGCTGCAGAATAAATTTAGGGCCAATCAAGTAAAGTGGCTGGTCGGAAGGTGGTTAATACATGATACTGGTGATCAGCACAATTGAGAGTGTATCTCTCTAACAGGAACACAGACAGCAATGAAAACCAAACAGTGATTCCAACCTCTCTCCACTCTATCGAAATCTACAAAAAGTTTAACTTTTAGTTATACTTTAAAGTTTTTAAAAAGCGTGTTTCACTGTTTAGTATGGAATTATATATGTATATATACTTGCTTATTATATACTCTTGCTGTGCTTCCTGCTTTGTTACACATCTTCCCTGCTTTACTGTTCTTTCTAACAACTTTTAAAACAGAACTCTAGCTTCAACTGTCCCATCAACCTCAGCCTCTGGTGCCTGATAGAAAACGATGCTGCTCTACTATGTATCTCTGAATTTTTTTTTTGAAGGGTATTGTATCAGGCACACTTTCTGTCTTTCTGATGCACAGCCTCCCACAAGACCCAATGACTGTCATAGACAAGCCCCCTGGGCTATGGAAGCTGTCACTTACTGCTGCTATGTTATATGTGGTGCGCTCAAATTCCATAATGCCAGTTTCATCTGGATGAGAAAGAGCTACAGAACCTGCCCCCTTTCTGTTCACACTGAATCATGGTACTCAGGAAATTTTCTCTGCAGCAGCTGGTACACTGTGCAGACTAGTTTCTTATGCTATGCAGTGTTACCTAAAATGCAGTGTTATCTACAATGCAAACACAGTAACACACAACATTTGGTTTACTATCTTCTACTGTTAACATTTAGGCAAATATGTGTGTTTTATATTAGAGAGGCACAATATCTGCAAAATATTAATCACTGTTGCTGAAATTTATTGTGATGAAGAGATGCAGCAGGGCACAGTGCCAAACTGAAGGTGAGCAATGCAGCCAGAGCTGCATTATTTATTTTTAGCTGTACTGAACTTCACTTTTTCAAAATATTTTTTTAAAGGTGCAAGGCTTTAAGGTAAACACTACAATAATAACTCCAAATATGTGTTTACTGGAAATACACTATAGAATTAAACATAAAGCTACACTCCAGGCAAACAGCTAAGTACACAGTCGAAATACAACTATCCTATTTCTTTTAATCCTGTCTAGCCCCTTTTGTGATTCAGACATCTCTGCCAGACAGTACAGCATGGACAGTATTAACTAATTTTTAGATTTTCTATTTAAGCTAAAAGGGGCTAGTGTGATTTCTTTCTTTAGCTTTCCCACTGCAGTCTGATAAGTCTACACAAACAATCTGTGTAGACCACAAATTTCAACTTTATTTTAAATGAGTTGAAGCACAAGTGGCCAGCAAAATAATATGCATTTAGTATAATTTTGTTTGACACATGGCATTTTCTAAAGCTTAATTTTCTACTTGTTGTTCAGTCAGCTTGCATAACAAGTAAATAATATGGTATTCTTTTTTTTTTAAATTTGACAATGAAGCACATTGGAGTGCCAGACCGCTGCCCTGACACAGAATGCAGCAGTCTGGGTCTCCAACAGTCCTATGCTTTCCCTGCACAGTGCTACTGTTAAAAATATTCATGCTCCCTAAGCAGTGTTGTTGACTGGAACATT